TGGTGCATTTGTGAGGGGGCATGGGACGAGCTCGCAATTTCCCGAACCGGACATCCCACTCGTCCGAGGGCTTCAAGTTGCCGAAGAGCTTCAGCAACAGCGGCGACAAGCTGCCGGAAAACCCGGATTCCCCTATGTGGAAAAGCGGGCGGGTGTGTTCCTTTCGGTTTAAGAGGAAGAGTACCCTGAAGAGAAGAGCTAATACGGCTATGAATCTTAAGGTATTCCTGCCCCCAAATAGTTGGTTGACATAAGTTCCAAATGATGGGTAATACTCCAAACACGGTTGGCGTACATAAATCCCGATTGAAATGATGTCCGCCAAGGGATCCCCAAAGTGCATGTGTGTGTGTGTGTGTGTTTTGCTTTTTCCTGAGGGTGCCTTTTTCACCTTAAGGTTTAAAGGGAAACCAAAAGGAAACCCGCATTCTCGGGATCCCCGGATGACACCCAAATTCGTGCACCTCTTGTTTGTCCGGTGAGAGAGGAGATCCATTTGTCCAATTGAGCGCCCAAGGGCGATACAACCTGCCCATCGGTGGCTTACATGGGTCCTTCCAACTCCTTGTTCTTGGGTTTTGTAGAATTGCAAATCGCCCCCTCGCGACTCCTCAGATATTTGGCGCTTTGGATTCTGCGCTCCGAATAAGTTTGTATTCGCAAAGGTTTGCCTGTTCTTTGGCAAGCTCGTTTGGGGTAAACTAACTCACCTTGGCGAGCTCGCATGATTTGGATCCCTTCTTGGCAATCCAACCTGTTGGTTTTGGACGTATGCGGGAAGCTCGGCCAAGTGCAGAAGATCATTGAAGCAAAAGCTGCAAAATGCATTCTAGCAGTGGCCTCCAGACGTGTGAATGTCCAAGTCAGGCCTTCACAATAAAAGTTGTAAAGTTGGGTGAATGTAGATGCCACAACTATCCTGTTTAGGTTTTACCCTTTGACTTAATAACGGGAACAGTGCCATCTACTTTCAGCCTGGAGTATCAACTTTGAACGATGGCTTCTTGTAGTAGAAATCTGCCCAACCCAAGCCGGACCATGGTGTGGCGGGAGACGCTCTTTCAATGGCTCCGGGCTGCGCAGAGTGCTCCAACGCGTTGGGGGCAGGTCACTTGTTTTGCGGTTCCGCTTAGCACATCTCCAAGAAGCAACATCACCTACCACAAGGGACGCTGACGCCGGAGCGATGCGCGTGCAAGCGTTGTCGTCTTCTACAAAGTGCGGTGCGGAAAGCGCGCCGCTCGACAAACGTCATCACCACAGGACTGCAAAGCATCGCAAAGAAGCACGTTTGACGCGCTTTGCGCTCGTGACACCCACGATCTTACGTGACCTAGTGATCAAAAGAAAGGCACATTGACATCTACAAGCAACTCTCGGAAGGCTGCAGAATATCGCCCCTTGCAACGTTATCATTGCTCCGGGCGATTACCAAGCAGGGTTCAGTTCCAAGCTGCAGGGTTCAGGCACAGGCAAGTTTCTCGGATTCCAAAGTAGGGCGCCAAAGAGGGTAGTGCGAAGCGCCCAGGGCTCCAAGCAAGGTGCCAAGGTTTGGCTTCGAGCCGGGGGACTTCTCTAGCCGGTTGGCCTAGGGAACCAGCAGTCATCACTCTAGGGTTTGATTCCCCACTCTTTTCAACCATCGTTCTTTTCAAAAACCAGCCCGTTTCCCCTGGGTGTATTGAGTGTTTTTTTTAGAAAGAAGGATCCCTGGAAAGAATGTGGAAGGTACCCCTAGAATCACGCCGTGCAATGCTGGTGCTGAAGATTGGCACTGGGCGATTCTTGTGGCGATTCGTCAGTCAGATGGTCTCCTGGCTGAGGTCTGGCTCCGGTGCCAAGAGAAAAAGAAGAGGGAAGGCCAGGTTCCTTTCTTCGCGCACTCCGTAAAAATACTTCCATTGGCTTAAGTAAAGAAAGAAAAAGAAAAAAGACTGGTTTTTTAAAGGGAATCTATGACTACTGGACATTTTATTTTTTCCAGGGGGCTGAAGCAAATGGAAGAATATGGTTGGTTGTGCTTGTGTTTTCCCTCTTAGCGGCACCACTCTCGGGTACCCTACCCAAGATGCACGTTACAAACAAACCAGCTGTTGAGCGGCACAGATCCCTTTTGGTGAGTTCGCTGCGGGTTCCACCCCCCAAAAGGCTCTGAGCCTTTTTTTTCTAGCAGGTCACTGGGCTACTTGGATATGTTTTTCAGTACTGGCGCCCTGACTTTAAGCAACGCCAATGATCTCCGAGTAAAAGGATGAGCCGCGGTCAAATGAACAGTGAGTTGTTACGCCCCTTGCTGGGAACTGCAAGAACCAAGCGGAAGTATTGATGCGCAAACACTCAGCTCTGTGTCATGATTTGACATGCTCGTTTGCCAGCTAGAAAGCTGCTTAGCGCCCTGATTGTTTTGCTTGTTTGCTGAGTGCTTTCCTTCGGTTATGTTTGTGTGTGTGGTGTGAACTTGCCCAAAATGCACCAGGGCGGCGGCGGCGGCGGCGGTGACAACAAGTGACGTGCCGACCGCGAGGCCAAGTTTGCCACAATCAAAGTCAGCAGAGTACGGTCTAACAATATCCGCCTTTTGGTTCAAATTTGCTAAGCCGCTTTCAGTGCCAGGTGTTCATAGGTGTTGATTGCGAGTCAAGCTACGCGAGAGAGCTCTGTTGACTCGGTTGGGTTGGCGCTCTTATCCTTAGCTATTGACCGAAGCCCTGCGGCAGGTCACATCCGCCCAGAAAAGACAGTGCTGAACTTGAGAAACGTCCATTTGCTGAACATGTCTGTGTTTTCCCCTTTTTGGTTTGAAGGGAGTCTATCACTACTTGAACTATCTTTGATTTTCAGGGGCCTTCACCGAATGGAAGGACATATTTCTCGAGTCTCAAAACGCCCAGCCGACCGGGGGCAGCGAACGTAGCGGCGTAGCGAGTGCCTTGCGCCTTTTCTCGGAGCATTTCGCGCATCGAATGTGGCTCTGGGCTCAAATTTTCCAGCGCCAGCTTGCGAGTTGCGAGTTGCGAGAGCCCTCGGGCGAGAGACACAGCAGCCAATCTTTTGGGGGATGCGGTCAATGCACATACACATCTTCAGCAAGGAAGAAGCATTTCACCAAATTCGGGCAAAACCCTCATGGCCGAGGCGGGATATTTGGTGCAAGACTGCAGTGTTGCAATCATCGGCGTTCGCAGGCCGCTTGATTGTTGCGAGCCTTTCTGCCAACTATGATCTCACATGTTGTGACAGAGCGGAAGGCATATGGGGCGGGGGGGTTGATGGGGGAAAAAGTTGATGGTTCCCCGTTTTGTATGGGTTTTGACAGGAAGCGAAACGGAGCACCGATGGCCGTTTTTCAGAAAAGACGAGCCTCCCATCTCCATGCCATGCCCCAAATTCTCGGCCTTTTCAGGAAGCGGAAGCCGCTGGGCTCGGGGCCGAGATGCATGTGCCATCCGGTTCCTTTGCATTTTTTACTTTGTAGATTCGGTTTTAGTGGGGGGGTTTCCAAATTTAACTAAAAGTAGATGAATATGCGGGTTGATCATCCTGGTCCCAAATGGGCATGAGTAACTTTGCCTGTGTTGGGAATAGCATCTTTCTAGTGGCTTCCCCCAATGGTGATCCTTTGTACAGGACCTTTTGATTGACCCCGGAATACCCCGCATGGATGCGTGTTGAGGGTTGCCTTGGGTTTCCCTTTAAATACCCTCCCGCAAAGGGTACCCTTCCAAAAGAGACACGTCACGGCGCATTGGGCTTGTAGGTCAATTTGTGGGGGCTCACAAACCGAAAAGGGGCCGACCCTTGAGATTCTCTCGCTTTTGAGCGAGAGGAAATGGGATCCAAAACACCGCAATCTTGTCCAAGGTTCTGATATTTGGGTACCCCATAGAATGTCAGTTGTCCAGTGGCACCCTTTTTCCCCTTTTTTTTGGTGGCTGCCCCACTAAAAATTGTCTTCCCCAAAAAGGGTTCCCTTTTTTTTCCAGGGTCACTGAACAACTGAGGAATTGTCAGCCCCTCGTCTAGTGAACTCTTGGGCTCCCTACCCGATTCTTCTTCTGAGGCCTCTGGATCGGCTGAAGTCGGGTTTCAAGGCGCTGGTGTGGCGCCTTGCTTCTGAAGACTTGTGAGGTAGACACGTAGAATCCGGACGAACAAATTATGCCAGGAACATGCAACTTGAGCCATGCGATAAAACGTACTAGACATATGCCAGACAAGATCATGCATGCGAATGCGTTTGCCAGACCGAATGCTAGACGCAGATCATAGAATTGCGCCAAACTTGAGCTATGCATGCGCTGAGGAACGCTATACTTAAAGCACACAGCAATCATCATCAACTCGCAGCCGCTTTGCATGGCAACTGAGTTCTCAGCGCAGCCCTTTGAACTTCAGGCCATATTCAAGAGTGGTAGACATGCTGCAAGAGTTCCAGGAAAAACCTAACGATCCAGCTCAAGAGCCCTGACAACGCAAATGATCGAGGTAAACCAGCACAAGCGCCAAAACAGAAAGCTGAGAATTCACACAATCCAGACAAGCACAAAAAGCAACATCCTCAAGAAGTCAGGAAAACAAACCAAAATGTGAGGGGCCAGATCAGGGTCGACCAGCAAGGTGTTTTTTGCTTCTTTCCCGTTCTCTCGAGGGTTTGCTTGGTGTTCAGCCGGATTGTTTGATTTCTTGAGTTTCTTGTTGCTTTTGAGCCGGAGTGGTTTTTCCTCCCCCCCCCCCCCCCGCCCCGATGTTTGTTGGCGCTTGCACCCAGAAAGGTCCAGAAGGCAGCCGACAGCCGAAGACATCGGGCCAAAGTTGATTTTCTGATGCAGGGGCTTTTTCCACTTGGTTAAGAGTCTGACTATTTTTGTCCCCTGTTGGTTTTAAAGGGATTCACTTTCACTACTGAAAAAAAGGGAGGGAACAGCAAATGGAGGGCGTGGGATGAATATCTCGGGGCCCGCCTGGTGCTCCCTTTGCAACCCTTTGCCCCCCTTGTCGCTATGCACGGGGCCGCGGCTGTCTTGCACATGGCGCAGGGCTTGTCGAAAAACTTTGCACCGCCCACGCCAGACGAGGAGGCAGGGTACATGCGTGTGGGTGCTGCCTAGAAGTAGGGATCTTCTTTGATGGTTTTTCAAGGAACAAAGAGGAACCCGGCCATTTTGGGGGACCGCCATTTCAGGATACCATGCAGATGTAGTGCTGGCTGGTGCAGTATCGATTTGACGGAGGAGAGTTGGCCGGAAACATTTGATGTGGGGAACGGTCACCAAAGGGGATGCATACCCAGCAAAATAGTTAGGAGGGGGTTTCTCAGGATTCCCATATTTCCTTTGGATAGTTGAATCATCCCCTGTTGGGCGAAATTGGGGGAGTTCTCATCAGTTGGGGGCACCTGCGGAATATTGTGCCGTGGCTCCATTGTGTTGTTGAGGCTCCGGGACAGATGGAGAATTCGCCAGCTGCAGGCCCGATTCGGCCGATGAGTATGTATCGACTAGCCTGCCGAATGCCATGCATGTGTTTTCTAGCGTAAATCTGCCGCAGCAACTCAAGGGCGCCGTTGTTGAGAATCACGAGGCGTTTCAGATTGCAAGTTCTTGAGTGGTCGCTGTGTGGCAAGAATAACAATGAGTGAGAGAGAGAGAGAGAGCGAGAGCGAGAGCGCTGGCGCCTACGCTGATGTTGAGGTGGCTGGGATCATGTCGTTTATTGCACGCCTGTAAACAATGACCTGAATCAGCTCAATGCTCAGACAGGCTCTGCGAACATGCCCCAGCCTGAGAAGCGTTCGGAGCAGCTTTGTGCATCGAAAGTTTCTGGTTGCGATCTATTTGCAAAGGACACGGGGAACTCGGCAACGTTCCCCAACAAAACCCAGGGGTGAAACTCTAGTTGTCGACCATGGCTCGTGTGCCTGTAGGGAGGCATGACCAGCTCAGGTTTTCCCATTGTTCAGTCAAGGGTCCTGAGCCAAACTAAATTACAGGTGGTTCTACTACCTGGTTTCAAACGGGCCAGGGGCTTTAAAAACTCCTTCATGACGTATATGTAGCTCGCAAGAGTTCATCTCGCTCCGCCCGACTGCTCGACTGCTCGGAACGAACGAACGGCTCAGCCTCTGGGAAGGGAAGGCCCTTCCTTCCTGTGAAAAGCGCGGGAGATGCACACGGTCTTTCCATAGCCATGCTGCGAGTGCTGGCCTTGCTGCTTGCCCCCTGCCTGGCTGAGCTCGAGCAGGTCGAGCAGGTCGCGCGGTGTTTGCTTCGGCATTGTTTTTGGTCGGCGCATCGTCCGGCTTCCGGTCGGTGTGCAGTCGGTTTAGGTGGGGGGGTTAGTCGGGTTTCCATTTAACCCGCCGAAAGTTTAGCTTTAGCACAGGATCTGAGGATAGCCCAGTTTGTGAGAAAGTGGCAGTCTTGTGGGGTGTAGGACCTCTCAATTTTCCCATGGCCTGGGAAAGCCATATCCGGGTCGCACCATGTTGCAAGCTGGACTCTTGCGTGATCCGGGTTCTGGAAGGGTCGGCCCCAGGAAATTGTCCAACGGGCGTGCTGATTGCAGAGCCCAAGCAACACCCAGCCCCAGCCCCACCCTAAACCAACCTAAACAAATCCAACACTTCCCTTAGATCGAGAATTCACCATTGTCACAGAAGCGCGTTGCAGCAATTCCCACAACCCTAATTCTATCCCCAACGCCAAAACCCCATTACCCGATCGGCGCCGTTTGGTCTTCCAACAAAATATGAGAAACCAGCTAAGCCAGCTGCAGGGCATTTGACAGGAAGCCCGTGTTTTTGGTGTGTGTTGGGCCAATCTGCGGAATTGTCCCCTTTCTGTGGCTATGAAAGATGTACCCCATGCCATGCTGGCCAACAGATAACCTTTCAAGTGACAAAGTCATGGGGATTGGAGCCCCTCTTTGGCGTCCTAAGCCAAGTTGCGGCCCTTTATGGCCAACCTCAGGAAGTGAGTACAGATGTCGGGTGACGTTGCACGACCATGTTTAAGTGACCCTTCAATCGTGGCCATATAAGTGGCTGCCCCATTAAATCCAGCGTCGGTCTGGGAGTGGTTTCCAAACCCCAGCTTCGGGTTTGGGAGTGGAACCCAGCTTCTACTCAGTTGTTCAGTGGCACCCTTTTTCCCTTTTAAAAATTGTCTTCCCCAAAAAGGGTTCCCTTTTTGTTCCAGGGTCACTGAACAACTGAGTCTAAGGTTGGCTGAAACCCGGGCATTTGAAGTCAAGTGATCTGCGGAGGCGCTGCAGACTGAGAGCTGCGAGGGAGGCCTGTCTCTGGCGCAGCTGCGGGCGCAGAAGGCGCAAAAGATCGATCGGATCGCACAGGGTGGGTGGGTCCTCTTTTTGTTTGACGGGGAGCTCCCAAAGGAAAGTTGTTCATGGCGGGTTTCCGAAAAAACACCACCATTCCTGGGATACCGATACCCCAAAAAAAGACGCAAGCCCGTGTCTTGTTTGGGTTCTTTTCTTGGTGGTGTTCAAGGAAAAGCCGACATGCGCCGGCCATTTTGGGGGGGGTGTGTCCCGTTTTTTTTGAGAGACACTCACCTGGGCGACGATGCGTTTTTTACGCGCCGGAGCCTGCGGACCTAAACCGAAGTTTGGACCCGCCGGAGGCTCCGGGACCCAAGAAATATCTCCCAAGTAGAAATCACTCAACTACCATTTGAGTTGGGTGGGTAGTTGGGTTCAACTCAATATCTCTTTTGGGTAGTTGGGTTGGTTTCCTTTTGGATTTCTTTGCTCCAACTAGCCAAAAGAGAGGGTCTGCCGTTTTGAGAGACACTCACCGCGACATGTTTCACCTTCAGAGTTCATTTGTTACGCAAGAGTTCCCTTCTTGCAAGGGGATCGAGGTTTGGCCAAACCATGTCTTTGGAGTTGGACTTCTCGGCATTTTGTTTTCTTTGGGCCTTTGGGGTGGGGTCCCTCATCAGAAAAACTGAAATGTGATTGCATTCCACAATCTTGCATGTCACCCGGCAGCATTTGGAGGGAATGCTTGAGAGGTGAAACATCTCAGGCGCAAGCACCTCCAGCTTTGGGCTTGAAGGTAAACCAAATCCTCCATTTGCTTAACAAAATGTGTGTTTTCCCTTTTGGTCTTAAAAGGAATTCATCACTGGACACATGTTTGTTTCCTGGGGCTTTGACATGGAAGAAATGCAGCTGGGACTCCCCCGGTCCCACAAAAACATCGCACGAAATGGGGATGCTCTGTGTCGTCCGCTCGAGGCTTCAGGCTTCACTGAACCGCTCCTTGAAACCTTCCGGTTTCCGGTGACCAAGAATCCAAACCCCGGTCGCTCAAGGTCAGTGAGAGACAATCCTATTCGGCCCTTTCGAGCTTTTTACGTGGGTCGAGGCCTTGGGCACAATCAGATGTTGATTGTGACTCAGGTGTTGCTGGTCACTTCTCTAAGTGCCTGTGGTTCTGCCACAAAGTTGCCGCGAGCAGCTTCGGAACCTCTTTCGGTCAATGGCAGATGGTTGTACAGCAAAGTAAATCGTTGAAGCCCTTTCACAGAGGCTTAAGGGCTTTGTACCCCTATTGCCTTCTTGGTAGAACCAAAAGTCAATGTACCCTTTTCAAGGTTGGTTTAGGAGAAGTCAATTTCAGACACATTCCCATGGTGATGTCTTTTTTGTTGAGGGCACCCCTTGGCACTTCAAAGGAAAAACAAAGACAACCCCCACCACAGATACATATATATATATACATAATATATACTTTAGAGCCTCCGGCTCAGTCCGCCGACATTGTCCTCTCCCTTTCTCCTTCTTCCTCTCTTCCTTGTCTCCCTTGTGTGTTCTGTCGTCCTCTCTCCCTCCCTCTGCTCCCATCCTCCCCATCCCCCCGAGCCTCTCTCTCCCCACTCTCCCTCTCTCGTATGTATGCATGCATGCACATATGTATGTCTGTATGTATGTATGTATGTAATGTATGTATGTATGTATGTATGTATGTATGTATGTATGTATGTATGTATGTATGTATGTATGTATGTATGTATGTATGTATGTATGTATGTATGTATGTATGTATGTATGTATGTATGTATGTATGTATGTATGTATGTATGTATGTATGTATGTATGTATGTATGTATGTATGTATGTATGTAATGTATGTATGTATGTATGTAATGTATGTATGTATGTATGTATGTATGTATGTATGTATGTAATGTATGTATGTAATGTAATGTAATGTAATGTAATGTAATGTAATGTAATGTAATGTAATGTAATGTAATGTATGTATGTATGTATGTATGTATGTATGTATGTATGTATGTATGTATGTATGTATGTATGTATGTATGTATGTATGTATATGTATGTATGTATGTATGTATGTATGTATGTATGTATGTATGTATGTATGTATGTATGTATGTATGTATGTATGTATGTATGTATGTATGTATGTATGTATGTATGTATGTATGTATGTATGTATGTATGTATGTATGTAATGTATGTATGTATGTATGTATGTATGTATGTATGTATGTATGTATGTATGTATGTATGTATGTATGTATGTATGTATGTATGTATGTATGTATGTATGTATGTATGTATGTATGTATGTATGTATGTATGTATGTATGTATGTATGTATGTATGTATGTATGTATGTATGTATGTATGTATGTATGTATGTATGTATGTATGTATGTATGTATGTATGTATGTATGTATGTATGTATGTATGTATGTATGTATGTATGTATGTATGTATGTATGTATGTATGTATGTATGTATGTATGTATGTATGTATGTATGTATGTATGTATGTATGTATGTATGTATATGTATGTATGTATGTATGTATGTATGTATGTATGTATGTATGTATGTATGTATGTATGTATGTATGTATGTATGTATGTATGTATGTATGTATGTATGTATGTATGTATGTATGTATGTATGTATGTATGTATGTATGTATGTATGTATGTATGTATGTATGTATGTATGTATGTATGTATGTATGTATGTATGTATGTATGTATGTATGTATGTATGTATGTATGTATGTATGTATGTATGTATGTATGTATGTATGTAATGTAATGTAATGTATGTATGTAATGTAATGTATGTAATGTAATGTAATGTAATGTATGTATGTATGTATGTATGTATGTATGTATGTAATGTATGTATGTATGTATGTATGTATGTATGTATGTATGTATGTATGTATGTATGTATGTATGTATGTATGTATGTATGTATGTATGTATGTATGTATGTATGTATGTATGTATGTATGTATGTATGTATGTATGTATGTATGTATGTATGTATGTATGTATGTATGTATGTAATGTATGTATGTATGTATGTATGTATGTATGTATGTATGTATGTATGTATGTATGTATGTATGTATGTATGTATGTATGTATGTATGTATGTATGTATGTATGTATGTATGTATGTATGTATGTATGTATGTATGTATGTATGTATGTATGTATGTAATGTATGTATGTATGTATGTATGTATGTATGTATGTATGTATGTATGTATGTATGTATGTATGTATGTATGTATGTATGTATGTATGTATGTATGTATGTATGTATGTATGTAATGTAATGTAATGTAATGTATGTATGTATGTATGTATGTATGTATGTATGTATGTATGTATGTATGTATGTATGTATGTATGTATGTATGTATGTATGTATGTATGTATGTATGTATGTATGTATGTATGTATGTATGTATGTATGTATGTATGTATGTATGTATGTATGTATGTATGTGTATGTATGTATGTATGTATGTATGTATGTATGTATGTATGTATGTATGTATGTATGTATGTATGTATGTATGTATGTATGTATGTCTGTATGTATGTATGTATGTATGCATGTATGTATGTATGCATGTATGCATGTATGTGAGTAGTAAGTAAGTAAGTAAGTAAGTAAGTAAGTAAGTAAGTAAGTAAGTAAGTAAGTAAGTAATGTAATGCATGTAATGTATGTACGTATGTATGTATGTGTGCATGCATGCATGCATGCATGCATGCTTACATACATGTATGCATGTATGTATGTATGTAATGTATGTACGTAATGTCATGTAATGTCATGTAATGTAATGTAATGTAATGTACTGTAATGTATGTATGTATGTATGTATCCTTGCACTTCCCCTTTGCTCCCCAGTATTTCCCGCAAAAAAAACACGGTTTTTCCAGCGTTTTCGCAAAGAGGACGTCCAAAAACATTGAGTTTTTCCAGATTTTCGGCAAAAGGATGCAGGAAGCCCAAGCCAGCAAAAAAGCCGGCAGGGGGAATCGAGCCTGGGACCCCTGTTTTGCGACACCGGCTCCCCGAAGACTACGTTTAGTGGAACGTCATCAAATTGCCGCGCGGTACGTGGGGGACCCCCCCCCCCCCAAAAACCTACGTAATAGACGTCGGGCGGGGGGGGGTTAGGGGGGGGGTTATCCTCTATCCTCTAGTAAGTATCCGACACGCCGAGCAATGTCGGCGGATATATATACATAATATATATATATATATATATGCACATAGTTAACCCCACCACATCTATGTATGTACACATGTGTATATATATATATATAATATATATATATTGATATATTAAGGGGGGGGCTGGGACCCTAAAGAAGGGCCAGGCCCAACTCGCCCGTCAGGCCCGAGAGAAGTGTGCCAGCAGCGAGCGGATGCAGATCCGCTGGTCTGCGGCGCGGGCCTCAGCTTCGCAGGTCGAGTGGTTGGAGCGAGTTCGGAGCCCAGGTCCCAAGTGAGGGCCGGTCATTTCCAGGAGTCTTTCGGATGGTCTTGAGGGGGAAACCACAAGAAAGTCCTGTCCAGCTGTTCGGGGTCCGAGTCCACCCTGGTTTTTGGACCAATACCCAGAGGTGTCCTGGTTCAGTCCCTATATTTTCCCCTTTTTTGGGGTTTGAAAAATCACCTTTTTGGGCCATGAAAGGTGAGTGTCCCTTGGTGGGGGCGATGTTTTATGGGGAGCCCTGTCTTCTCAAGGGAAAAAAGTGGATTCAAGGGTTTCACCACCAAGGCCGGGGGAAGTCTGCGGAAAGGTACAAAGCTCTCTCTCTCTCTCTCTCTCTCTTTGCAGGTGCCATGGTGTGAGGATCCGAATGGCGATGTCAACTCAAATGTTCAAAGCGAGTCGACCGAATCTATTCTTTTAATCTTCCCATTTTGGTCCAGAGGTCCCGAAAGGTGAGACCTGTTGGTCTTTGAAGTTTCCCAGTTTGGGTTCCCATGTTTCGGCGGCCCAAAAAGGTGATCACAGCTTATTTTTTGCAGGTCCCATTCGGGGCAAATGAGAAATGCCTGGAGCAACCTTGGTGAAGTGAACGGGTGAACGGGTGTACCGGGAGCAGATCCAGGATTCACGAAGTCGATCCCCAATCCTGGAGACCCTGCAAGCCAGGGTTGGCTATTTTGCCAACACCTCAAGCTCTGGGGTTCCGATGTGTGTGTCAGCTCGTGCCGATGCTTCGCCTGAGGACCCATCCTTTTGCCTGTCCAGCGACATGAACCGTATCGGCCACCTGGACTCACGAACTGTCCGATGGGAAAACTTTCTTTTCGGTTCCCTCCTTTAGTTTGCGGCGGCTTAGTCTGGGTGTGCCGTTTTTGAGGGTCTGGGGAAAACCCGCAATCTCTGGGAGGCCCCGCAATGTAAGCCGGTGCTCCCTTGGCCAAGGGAGCTTTGCCCCACCGCGCCGCGTGGCCCCGATGCCGAGGCAACGGGGTGCCGATGGGGGTCTGGAAGTGCGACGAGAACTGGTCCAGCCCTGGCCAGCTTTTCAAGCAGAATTTGCTGAACTATGGCCAGGACGAGAGGATCCGCGACCCGGGCCAACCCAGTGGGGTAACCCCGATTTCGGAAGGAGAGGGGGGACAACCCAAATTTCAAGCGCAAAAGCCAGGGGGACGGGCACAAGTATGTAGACAGACTTGTTGAAGTCGCTGCCGCCTCATATCAGCGTTTGTGTACCATGGGGAGTTGAACTTGGGAAGGTCGTTGTCCCTTGCGCCGGGAGTTCGAATTGGGACTTGCGTTCCAGGGCAAGTGCCGGGCGCAGGCTGCAAGCCAAGAGTAAGCAAGAGAGCGAAGAGGTAGGGCTGCCTTCCATGTGTCTTTGGCGCAGTTCGGCCATCTGCCAGGTGGGTGAAACATTGCTGCATGGCCGTTCCATGGGGGTTAGCCTCCTTACCAAGACCAAGAACTATTTGTTTTGCTGCGGCAGGGGTTGCGTTCCATGGTGAGCTTGAAACTTGGCGGATTTGTTTGCAACACATGTTCATTGAAATGATCATGCGTTCCTTGCGGGCAAAGTTTGGCGGCGACCTTTTGACTTGGATGGACTGCGTTCCATGCGGGGTGACCTTGTCACACATCAGTGGCGGTGACTTTGAATTGTGTAGCCTTCGTTTGGAGGACAAATATTGTTTGCTGGTCACAGAACGGTGCCCATAGGTGAGTTTGGTTGAAATCAAATTTGGCTTCAATGAGCTTCCAACTACTTGATTGTTAAGTTTAGGGGTTTTCTTTAAAATTGTAGGGGGTCTTGGACTTTTGCAGGGGATCCGACATCTTGCTAAGATTTGGGGTTTGACCAGTGCCATCAATTTTCAAAAGGACGGACTCCTCGAGCATTGCTTTAGCAAATCGCCGATCTGATGAGGAAATCGCAATGTGCAAGATCCGGGTATCCCCGCAAATGGTGATTGTCCTTTGGGTTTCCCTTTAAGCCAACCCAGAAAAGGGAATCCTCGAAAAGACACGCACCCATTTGACGAATGAACGCCCAGGTATGTATGATGATCCAACGTATTGCGTTGTGGTGGACAATGACGAGTTCCAGGATGGTGCAAAGCTGCTGTTGTGCCTTGCGACAAGTTGGCATGCATTTGCAAGGCGTTCAAAGTCTGCTTTATGTCATTATGGCCGAGCCCAGTGGATCCATTTACTTGTATAGTAGGAAACCAAGGCAAGCCTTTAAAGCCAGAAGGACAATTGCTGGTGACCTACGAAAAAAGAAGAACTTGGATGTTTGCTCGATTCGACAGGCTTCTGAGGCAAAGACCGGTTTTTCTGAGGTGGGAGTGCGACGATGCCGACGCAAACCAAGACTGGGTACTTTGGCGCCTCGCCCAATGTGGGTGCGGGGTTTCGGAGTACCCTTTCCAGCTTGCTTTAACGGGAAGCCACAAGGAAAACCGATTTTGGGGTCCAATTCCCCCCGATTTTTGCAAGTGCCCATGTGTCATTGCACAAAATGGCCGAAGGGATGTTTCTCAAAATTGGGTCCACTGAAAAAGTTGGTTTCCGTTTAACGTCCCTTCAATTACCAACAGGGGCTGTGGGTGAGAACCTCCCGAATCAATCTGGTGGCTTGACCGGGCCGCGCTCACCAACGCGAAGAGACCAGCCATTCCTCAACCGGTACACTTGTCGAGGATGCCGATTGCATTCAACAGAACTTGATCCAGTTGTCATTGCTCTAGAGGGCGCATTATTCCAGATGTTCTGAGCATAATGTGCAAAGTGTCCTTTTCTTGTACATCTCTTGTGAGGCTGTAGACAGTCAGCTTTCCATCACTTCAACACATCAACACATTCAGCTAGCAGTGGATTGACAGCCTGCGGATATTCAGCTTGAAGCTTTTACAGTCACCAGGTGCAGGGTTCCTGAGATTTCCCCTGTTGGTTTTAAGCATCACCTGGGCCGACTTGGAAGTTATGGAACCCTGAGTTCGGTTTCGGAAGTGTAATAGCAAGCTCGTGTGCGGATCAAATTGTTGAAATATCAGAACTCTTTTGAGGCGCGGGCATGGTCAGATGGCTGAAGTCATAGATTTTGACAGCAAGATTGAGCACACACGTATGTACGCGCACGTATACATGTCTTCACCGACATTTGTAAACAAATATCACACGTCCTTTAGATGTCCCGCGTGTTGGGATCCAACCGCGTGTGTTTCAGAAGCTTAACTGTGCAAGCAAGAGCGCTGATGTTTGTAGCCCGTGCATGTTTGCATGTCCTGAGACACCCCTTGAAGTGCACATAAGTGCACAGTGGCAGAGTTGTGTGGCAAAAAATCAGCATCCCAAGCTGGAGACATTCACAGTTTTCCGAGAGAGATATGAGCAAAATGATTGATGCGCGCAATCTACCTTGGAGGAAATAACACACCTGGGGTAGACTTAGGATACATTTTACATTTTACCAGTGACTCCATGTGAAGCAAGTAATAAAATATACGTTCTATAACTGGCCTAACTCTAATCATGACACCAAGTAGCAAGACTCAGACATCACCAAACTCCAATGTTGGCGGGAAACACATATGGACCATGGCTATGAATCAATCGCCACGCGGTTACGTCATCCATCCTCAATGGGCCCATTTGTTCTTTCAGGAGCGCCTTTGGTGGTGGAAGCTGCAGCGGCCAGATCTCTGCGCTCACCAGCAAGCAGGAATTTTGCATGGTTTGGGCCCCGAAGAGAGAGAGAGAGAGAGAGAGAGAGAGAGAGAGAGAGAGAGAGAGAGAGAGAGAGAGAGAGAGACGGGCCGTCAAGGCCTCTAGTGCCCAAGCGCCAAAAAATGGAAGTGGACTATGTTGGCTAGGTCCCCCAGTAGTGCCCTTTTACCTTTTGTTTGGGGTTCCCCTACTAAAAGAGACTACAGAAAGAAAGGTTGCCCTTCTTCTAACCTCTCCACTGGAGAACCTAGTTGGGTTTTCGAAGATTTTGAAGGCCCGGAGACGTGCACTGTGATCGTTGAAAAGGGCTGGCAATTCTGTGCAGACCCACATCTCCTTAGCCAAAGGCTGGCTCCTTCGGTTGCGGGGAGCAGCAAAGCTACCAGCCCCACAGGTGTCCCCAATTTCCCCTTGGACTTCCAAAACAGATTCTTCGGAAGCCACCAGATGGAACCGGGGGAAAAGAAGCAACGCCCGCGCCAGCCGAACCCCCCGAACCCTTCCCCGCTTCGCCCGCATCCGCCACGAGGTGGTTGAGGGCAACAACGCGGTGATGGGCGCGGCCGTTTTGCTTGGGACCTGCAAGGGCGAGGAGCGACTGGGACCGCAAGCGCAGGCGAGGCGAGGCCAGTGTTTCGATGCTTGAGACTTTGGGCTTGGAATCCCGCAAAGTGGGTGGGTGTCTTTGGGTGTCCAAGTTTGAAGCAACCCGGAAACGCTAGCTCCAAAAAAAACGAGGTGGTTGGCACCATCTCAACTTTGGTGCATGTTGCTTGGATGTTAGGACTTTAACTTGTTGCCAACTAGTGGGTTTTCCACTAAACCACTAAAAGTTAAACTTTTAGCAGGGGAGCAGAAAGCAACCCAGTCAATTATGTGATCAAAGAGGGCATGGTGATTGGACTGAACTGAGGTATGCAAAGACATGGTCTCCGTGGAACAAGGACGAGTGAAATCGCAAAGCTGGTTGAAGCATTCAAGGCAGTCTTGAGCTACTTTCAATTGAGGACTCTTTGGAAACCTCTTCACTGTTCTTTGCAAGTATTTTTAAGTTTTTTGTGTGTGTGTGTGTGTGTGTTTGGTTCTGTTCATGTTTAGTGGAGGGGGGGCTGCACAAAACAAGGTTTTTTGCTGCCATACCAAGGATTTGTGTCCAACCATTCGGAGTATTACCAACCAACCTTCAGCGCCATGTGCTTTCTCTATCCACAAAAAAGTGGACAAAGTACCATAGTCCATGGGGTGGCCCGAGCTCCCGATTCTGGTTCTCGCCTAAAACCGATTCCTGGAAAGGCCATGTTAGTGGTTCAGTCCCTGCCTCCTTTCGTGGGATGCATAGTTCGGGCTATATATATATATATATATATAAGTCTAGGATCATGTCATTGGAGCCAAAAGTCAAGGGCTTTGGATGCTATTCAGTTGCGTTCTTGCCCCGGCGCCTGAAAAACCGGAGCAAAGAGCTGTGGGTGGGGTGAAAATCCCCGCAGTTGCTGTACCATTTGAGTGTGCGCAGCAATGCCAGTCAACTTGGCTGTAAGCAAGCAACGTCGTGTCAGGCAGCAAACTTTGGTGCTCCTGTCATGGGCTCTTGCTTTTGCTGTGTCCAAGTGGGGCTGTTGTTGGACAAGCTTTCTCATGTTAGCCTTGTAGAGTCAATGAGGGCCAAGCAGGCCCGGCACGCGAGTGGCGATTGTGATTTGCTCAACGCTTTTTTCAACAAGTAATTGATGTGTAGCCTGTGTGTGTGTGTGTTTTTCGCTGAGAACCTTGGTTAGACGTCACCGCGACGCCGGCGAAGATTCGCTTGCGCAATGCCCTTTTTGACCCACGCATCTGCCAATGGGCGGTATCCACACGGAGCGTCCGGCGACACTTTTGAGCAGCGCAGCCCGCTTGGAATTGATTTTCTCGTGTCCTTCGCAGAGCCCACAGGGGGGGGAACGGTGACACTGAGGGAATCCCTGCAAATTCCAAGCTTGGGCCTCCCGTTCGGGCAGATTTGGGGTTCCCGAAGTTTCGATGTTGGTTCGGAACAATGAAATGGTATATGAGTCTGACAGAAATCTCCATTAACCAATGTTCAAAGGGTGCCGATGTTTGCTTCACGGGCTGTGTTGAGTGCGCCGCATGACCGGCGAAGAGCGCCGACGAGTTGAAAACTCCCCGTGGCTTTCTTTTTGCAAATCATGCAGGGTATGCTCAGCTATAGACTGCGTGTGCCAGAGGTTTTGCACGAACAGTTGCCGACCGAGTCGTGAATGTAAAAATGTCAAGAACAGATTTGGTGGTCCGTTTTTTCGGACTGGGCGAAATTGTCTACAACCAATTTAAAGGCAAGCCGAAAGGAGGCAGTTGGAAAGTTGGAACAGGCAGCCATGCCAGGCAATGTCCAGATGGGTATGTTCTCCGTTTGGTTTTAGGCCAAAGACCGAGCTACCAAAGAAAACACCGGGCCTCACACATATAAAAGAAAAACCACCACCACAGGGGCGCCCACAAAAGCCTCAAACAGGCACAAAAAGTGGGTGCCGCGCAAGAAGTCAGTGTTCCTTTCTTGGTGTTCTTTTAGTTTTTTGGTGTTTAGTGGGGGTTTTCCATGTAGCCCTCTGAAAATTAAGCTTTTGGCCGGGGATCTGAGGACAGCTCAGTTTCGGCTTTCCTTTGACGCGCTGGCTTTGAGGTTCAGCTCGTGGGCTGAGAAAGCGAGGAAGGCCTTCAACGAGGCAGGGGAAGCGGGGTTTGCAAGAGACAGGGGCAGTGTACAAAAGAATCTTTGATTGAAATGAGACTCACTCACTCAAGTTCGCACGGGGCCTCTGTGGGCGCAGCTGATTTATTGGGGGGGGGATCAGGCCCAAAAACGGCAACAGCAAGTGCACGTGTCTGCGCGCGTGCACACACTACTCCTCCCGCAGGCCTGATTGCATGCACAAAACTGGGGCTCACACCGTCAAATCGTAAGGGTCAAACGGCACATGCAAAGAAGAGAGAAACACTTCGTCAGCTTGTGCAAGTTTGATTGGCCCCGGCGCAGTGCAAAGGCTGATGGCACGGTCACAAAGAGATGCGGCCAACGCCTTGCAAAGTCTGGCCGGGCGCTCCCTGCAAACCGTAGCTGACGATTCGCTGCCAGCCGGTGTAAACGAATGCTCAGGCTCAGGACGTGCTGCGCTGTCAAGGTGCTCAAGCAGTGTTGGCAAACCGACTGAAAGCAAGTAAATCAACTCAGTACTTTGCTCAGCGTACCAGGCTTCCGAAACTCCAATCAAGTCTACACCTGGCAGCTGACTCAGGAAGCGTGTCAGAGTCAGCTTCCAGACTGATGGGTGTGAAGATTTGTCGGAAGGCGCAGGATGCCCAACAACACACGCAACGCCGCATGAGACGCACAGCAGAAAGGTGCGGAGCGCATACTGTACCCAGGCTGACTCTGCACGCACCTGCCAATCCCCTTTCTTGCCAAGTTGCGCAACACCCCATGGCTCTTCCTCGGACCTGAGAAGGCGTCGCCTGCTCTGAATAGCTGGGCACGCTCCGCAGTCTGTGACCCAAGTGTCGCTAGGCGGCACAGCCACACATGCTGCAACCCACCCCTGTCGGATGAGCTTTTCAACAAACTCTACACTCTGCGAGTTCGGCGCTGCGCCGCTGATGGACAAGCATTCAACAACAATGCCTTGCTCGGCAGCAAAAACGGCAGCTTGCTGCTGCACTTCTTGCTCATATCCCCGCTTGCTCATGCAAAAGAAGCTCAAGATGTATCTGGGTTGGGCAGGTTGACGCGTTAGCCGTGTCAACCCCAAATGCGCAAGATCTGTGACAACAACCTGCCCCTGGTGACGAACAGCTTGCCACGCATGCTTTTCCGAGCTGCAACTCGCGTCATCTGAGAGTAGCACCCATGCAGCGGCGGCCACGGTTCTCTCTACAAATGTCTGGTCGTGTGTCTGAGCAAGGATGCAAAGAGCCTCTGTGATCTGTGCTGCCAGAAGTTCTGAATCAGTCTCGCCAGCACCAAAGTGGCTTCGCAAAGTTCTAAGAGTCCCGGGCACGTGTTGAACAAAGGGCTGCCCTGCTCCCTGCTCCGTCGGCAAACACTGCGCAAGCTCTGCTGCCAGACAAACCTGTCGTGTCTGAGCTGGAACATTAGCTCTAGCTGTTTGACTGTCAGTCGGGTCAAGCAACGACCACCACGCCAAGCGTCCTTGCAGCCGAACAACTGGCTTGTGGGCAGTGTGTGACCTGATAACATCTTGGGCTAGCTCCGGGAAGTCCATTTCTGCCTCTTGCATGCGGACCACGCAAGCAGGACTGCTGCGCAGATGCTCTCGCAAGCGGCTTGTGGAGTGGTACTCGCGTAAACAAGCCACGCAAGAGGTGCCTTTTGCAAAAGGGTAAAGCGCGCTGAACTGTTTATGAGCCCTATGCCGATGCACTGCGCCATTGAAATGAGAGGGAGACAGTGATTTTTTGGGGGGGCACGGGTGAAAATTCAATTGAAAGGGAGACAATGATTTCCGGGGGGAACGGGTGAAGATTGAAATCAAAGGGAGACAATTTTTTTTTGGGGGGGGACGGGTGAAGATTGTTTGAAATGAAAGGAAGATAACGATTTGGGGGGAACGGGTGAAGATTGACTGAGATACAAGGGAGACAATGATTTTCGGGGGGAACGGGTGAAGATTGAAATGAAAGGGAGACAATCATTTTGGGGTGCACGGGTGAAGATTGTTTGAAATGAAAGGAAGATAACGATTTGGGGGGAACGGGTGAAGATTGACTGAGATACAAGGGAGGCAATGATTTTCGGGAGGAACGGGTGAAGATTGAAATGAAAGGGAGACAGTGGTTGGCAATGAAAGGGAGACAATGATTTTGGGGGGCACGAGTGACGGTTGAAATGTGCGGGAGACAATGATTGTGTTTTTTTTGGGGGGGAACGGGTGAAGATTGATTAAAGTAAAAGGGAGATAATGATTTTTGGGGGGCACGGGTCAAGATGGAAATGAAAGGGAGACAATGATTTTGGGGGGCACGAGTGAAGATTCAAATGCAAGGGAGACAATGATTTTTTTTTGGGGGGGGGGGAACGGGTGAAGATTGATTAAAGTAAAAGGGAGACACTGATTTTGGGGAAGCACAGGTGAAGATTGACATGAAAGGGAAACAATGATTTTGGGTGGCACAGGTGAAGATTGACATGAAAGGGAGACAATGATTGTTTATTTTTGGGGGGAACGGGTGAAGATTGATTAAATTAAAAGGGAGATAAGGATTTTTGGGGAGCACGGGTCAAGATGGAAATGAAAGGGAGACAATGATTTTGGGGGGCACGAGTGAAGATTGAAATGAAAGGGAGACAATGATTTATTTATTTATTTATTTTTGGGGGGGGGACGGTGAAGATTGATTAAAGTAAAAGGGAGATATGATTTTGGCGGGGAACGGGTGAGGATTGAATTGAAAGGGAGACAATGATTTTGGGGGGCACGGGTGAAGATTTATTTAAACGAAAGGAAGATAATGATTTTGGGGGGGGGCACGGGTGAAGATTGATCTAAATGAAGGGAAGATAATGATTTTTTCTTGGGGGGGGCACGGGTGAAGATTCAATTGAAAGGGAGACAATGATTTCCGGGGGGAACGGGTGAAGATTGAAATCAAAGGGAGACATATTATTTTTATTTTTATTTTTTGGGGGGGGGACGGGTGAAGATTGTTTGAAATGAAAGGAAGATACTGATTTTGGGGGGCACGGGTGAAGATTGAAATGAAATGGAGATGATGATCTTCTTTTTTCTCTTTTTTTTTTTTTTTTTGGGGGGGGGGGGCAACGGGTGAAGATTGAGTGAGACGAAAGGGAGCCAATGATGTTTGGGGAGACAATCATCTTGGGGGGCACGGGTGAAGATTGAAATGAAAGGGAGACAATGATTTTAGCGGACACGGGTGAAGATTGAAATGAGAGGGAGACAATGTGGTTTGTTTTATTTTTATTTATATATATATATATATTATTATTTTATTTATTTATTTTTTGTTTTGGGGGGGGGGGGGGGGGTGGGGCACGGGTGAAGATTGATTGAAGTGAAAGGAAGATAATGATTTTGGGGGGCACGGGGGAAGATTGAGATGAAAGGGGGAACGGGTGAAGATTGATTGAGATAAAAGGGAGACACTGATTTTGGGGAAGCACAGGTGAAGATTGACATGAAAGGGAAACAATGATTTTCGGTGGCACGGGTGAAGATTGAAATGAAACTGAGAGAATGATTCCGGGGGGCACGGGTGAAGATTGAAATGATGGAGAACATGATTTTGGGGAGCACGGGTGAAGATTAAAATGAGGGAGAAAGCATTTTTGGGAGGGGCACGAGTAACGATTGACATGAAAGCGAGAAAACGTTTTTTTGGGGCGCTGGTGAAGATTGAAATGAAAGTGATAATGATTTTGGGATGAAAGGGAGACTCTTGTTTTTGGGGGGGGTGGGGCACGGGTGAGGATTGATTGAGATGAAAGGGAGACAATGATTTTGGGGCGGCACGGGTGCAGATTGATTCAAATGGAAGGGAGACAGTGATTTTGGGGCGGCACGGGTCAAGATTGGTTGACATGAAAGGACGACAATGATCTTGGGGCGGCACGGGTGAAGATTGATGGAAACGAAAGGGAGACACTAGTTGTGGGGCAAGCGATTGAAATCAAGGGGAGACTGCTTTTGAGGGGCAAGGGTGAAGATTGAAATGTAAGGCAGACAATGATTTTGGTGGTGCACGAGTGAAGATTGAAATGAAAGGGAGACAGTGATTTTGGTGGTGCACGGGTGAAGATTGATTGAAATGAAAGGGAGCGAATGATTTTGGGGGCCACGGGTGAAGACTCAAATGAGGGAGAAAATGATTTTGGGGGTTACGGGTGAAGATTGAAATGAAGTTTTGAGGGGTGAAGATTGATTGACATGAGTGGGTGAAGAGAACGGGTGAAGATTGATTGAAATGAAAGGAGACCATGGTTTCGTGGGGAACATTGTTTGAATGGAAAGGGAGGAAATGAAGCGATGGGAAATATTGATTGAGATGATGTTGGCTGGAAAACATTGGTTGAGGTGGGAGGGAAGCATTGAATTGGGTGGGGTAGCTCCGAGCTAAAACGCGCCCGTTGTTCCGAGTGCCGAAAGTCAATCATGCATATCCAGGGTGGATCGGCTTATTCTTGTCGGTCTTCGGGGGTTAAAACCCTGATTAGAATGATGCAGCTCCTTTAGCTGGTTGTTTTTTCTTATTTCAGGTCTTAGTATTGAAAATGGGCTAGGATCAAAACAGGTTTCAAAAACAAGCACAAAAAAAAGGTCCAGCTAAAGAGTGGGCAAGCCGGATCACTACTTTGTTTCATGAAGCTAAAAAATATGAGAAACCTGCCGTTGAAGCAGAACCGAGGCGAACTCTTTGATAGGGTGTCCCAAGTAAGAGTTGACATGCGGATCATGTTTTCGAGAGTTGCACTTTTGCATTTAACAGGTTGATTCAGCCAGGGCTGAGATCAAGCTCATGGAAGATGTGTTCCGTTCAAGTTCATCCAAACTGTCAGATGAATGAGGTTCCACAAGCCTATATAAATTAACCGGAGGTTTATCCATCCAAGGCACCGCAGGGTCAGGCAGCCAAGCACCGTGTCAGGTGTTTGTTTGTTTGCGCTGACCAAAGAAAGCCTAACTCGGACCCCCTTCTTTGACAGGTGGCCTATGACCCTGTGCCCAAGGAGGAGGAGGCGAGCACACGGTGGCTGGTGGCTCCACTCCAAACTGTCGAAACCCAAAGCGCTGCTTTTTGTCAACCAGAGTTTGTAGCCAAACATTTGTAGCCATGGTTGCTTTGAGTTTGCTTTGCTTTTTGCAGCCAAGCATTTGCTTCCTGCTGCAAATATGTTCCGCACATGCATATTCGGAGTATTCGGACAGAGTAGCAGACTCTAAAGGGAGCAGCCGAAAGCCTGTCAGGTACACATCAAAGGTGGATACAATCCACCTTAGACCAGGGTTGTGAACAAACGAACCATCGAGAGGAAATCAACCTTCGAACAAAATGTGGCTTAGCCTCTCAGAACTCCTTTGAACTTCGAAAAAGGAGAACTTTACGACTGAATTAAACCCCTAACAAACACATTTAAACCACGGGTTGAGTCCCTCAAAGCTTCTGACTTGATGCACAAGTCCATTCGGCCTCAGGCGCCGTCGCCAGATGCAGAGAAGGGCGAGGCCGGAGCTCAAGTTTGTCCGGAACAGAAAACGGATGCGTGTGTCACAATAGCGATTTGGACACTGGATTGTCCTTCTTTCCCTTTCAAAATCAACGGAGCAAAAGGTACCCGCAAAGAGTTTCAAACGACGTGTCACCCTCCCCCCCCCCAGCCCTCCCATTTGGACACATACCCAAATGGGTGTGGTTAGTTTTGTTTGGCTGTCTGGGGAAACCAAGAGGAAACTAGCCATTCTGTGGGTCCGCTTTGTCTCAAAGGATATGGCCCCCTCGTAAATGGGGCCTGTTTCCTTCAGCAAAAAGACACCCCTGAACGTGCCAAGACATGCTTGCTTGAGGTCGGGATGGTAATAGGTATTTTAGACCATGGCTTCTTAATAAAGGAACCATGTTGCAGACCCTGACTCACAGGATGTTCGACGGCAAATACCACGAAGGTCTGCACGTCTGCACCAGTTTTGCTCATTTGCCTTCAGTGGCTTTGGGTCAGCAGGTGATTTCGGTATCGTTTTTCCGAGTTTGCGGTAGGTTTACACCAGTTCCTGGAACATCTATGATTTTCAAACGCCTCTCGCTCGTGAAGAAGCCGGCTGCCCGGCCCCGCAAAAACTTGCGTTGGGTTGACATGGCGATTCAAGTTGAGTTGACTAGGACCAAAATGATTTGGCCAGGATTTGCAACTACCACCATTCAGAACTAGGACCCAAATAAGCGGGCGGGACCAAGATGACGCTAAAACTAGGACCAAAAATGAGAGGGTCACCTTCAGCAGCCACCCAATACGCTTCTCTGATGTGCACCTGGGGATGGGCAGTCGTGGTTGATCCCAAAAAGGATCTTTGGGTCTGCGATTGGTACCGTTTGAGTCTGTGGCAATTAAACGAAATGGGTGCTTCTCAAAATGTGAGCCTCTCCTGGTGGTTGGTTACCTCTGGGTTTCCCTTTAACCATGCAAACAGAGGCTTGCTGTTTTGAGAGACACCCAAATGATCCTGATAGTTGGACATGAACCCAGATGGGAGAATGAAAAGGCCTCAACATGGTGACACAGTCATTATGGTGTCCTGGCAAGCTAGGCAAGCTCTTTTGGATGCCAAGCTGTGCGCAGAAGGGATCAAGTGTGCCGTGGTTTTGGGATATTGCATACTGAAGCCGGTTGAACAGGATCCCTCAACGAAATCATACATCTGGGCGAGTTGTTGTTCTTTCTTTTTTTTCAGGGCACCAGCAAACTGTTGTTTGTCCTTTTCGTTTCCCTCTACGACCCCCCAAAAAAATGACCCGCATTTGCTCCAGTGAGGCTGAAACCCGTCCGCCGACCCGGCGGACCCCCGAGCCCCTGTGGCCAGGCCGGCACCTGGGCCAACTTTTCGAAGGCCGCCTCCCGGCTCAGCAAGCAGGCGACAGTCGATGGCACTGGGGCCGAGCTCTGAACTTGGGGGCTGTCCCACTGATCGAATTGGCCTTTGTTGCCTTTTAGTGTTCAGTGGTAGGTTCCATTTAACCCAAAGTTAAGCCTTTAGGGGGGAGGGGATCCCAGTTGAAACGGAGCAAATGGGTTGCTTCAGGAAGCGCCGTCGAGGGGCCAAGCTTTTCTTTCCAACAGGGCATCGAGACGTGTATCATGCTGTTGTTGTTTGGTTTTTTTGCGCGGATGTACTTGCGGCAGATGGCATGGTGTCAGCTAAATGGGGCCCGTGGTTCCGTCAGAGGAGTCTTTCTTGGTGTCTTGTCCGACAGACATCGCGGGTTTGGTAAGGGCACGTAAAACGGCCCGCGACTCATCAAGCATGTTGGGCAGTTGGCAATTCCTGCAGGTTGCCTCGGCAGCCGGCGAGGCCAAGCAGAATATTGAGAAGGCACGGCGCTTGAAGCCTTGCTTTGTTGTCATGGGCGTGGCTCAAAATTAAAGAGCTGGGGTTACGCAGGTGTTGGTCACTGTTTCCATCCAAGCTCAAAGATTGGTACAATCTTTGCGACATCCAAACGCGAAAATGGCACAATGCAATTGCAAGAGCACCTCGAAATGGTTCGTCTTGTAATGTTAACTGCCGATCATGCCAGTGTGGCAGGCTCGCCATGGGATAGCAAGGTGGATAAGGGAGCCATGGCGCAATGGCAGCGCGCCCGTGTCTTCAGAAACTCGGGAGGTTCTAGGATCAAATCCTGTTGGTCCTACTGTGTTTGCACATTCAAAAGAACACATCAAGCAATCCCACACTGCAGCACGAGCCATTGTCTCTCTGCAGCCTTTGAGCTTCAAATTTGCAGTTGCGGACACCTCAACTCCTTGCAGCCTCTCACTCAGCATGGCTAGCGTGCGGCCCTCAGTCTTTGACGGTCCATGAGAATTCACTTGAGGGAGACTGAATTGGCCAAGCACATCTTCATTGCACAGCAGTAAACCCTACGTGTACAGAGAGAACTGACAACAAGCTTGGTAGTCTGCTGTTGGTTTGGGGATGAGAAATGGAGCCCCACAAGAACCGGGTTTTTGCGGGAAACCTGTGGCGATTGTGTTGGTAAATACTGCATGTATGCAAGTCTTGCTTTTTGGCTGCAGATCAAGAGTCGTACAGGTCCTTTTTTTTTTACTCTGAACGAGCGAACACCTGGGGTCGCTGTTGGCGCTCCGTTGTGAGATGTTTGTCTTGCTTTGTTGGCGATTGCTGGCTGAGCCTTGAACGGGCAGCGGGCGCGGCCGAATAGACTGGGTAGACCTCATTTCAGCTGCCACTCAGAACATCCCGTTGTGCAACCCATTGGACGTCAATCCAGAAGCTGTGCCTCACTTCTCCAAAAGACCCAGCCGAAAAAGGTTTGCCTTTCCGGACCTTGCCTAAAAATGGATCAACGCTGGGCTCCCTGGATGCCATGAAAGCACAAGACGCTGCCTGACTTGATGCGTGCAGCGTCAAGTTTTTTCTGGTTGGTTCTTCAAGGCAACGCCAAAACACACATCTCGAAAAGAAACACCAGATTCTTTCAGCCATCCCCTTTTCACCTGGCTTCCATTTGTGCAAGAGCTCGGGGCGGTCAACTTGTGCCCATGAGAACCCAGGACTAACACCCTGGGGGCATCTTGCATTTATGAGGGCACACCAATAGAATCATCTCACACGCCCTGTTAATTTGCTAGGTTTATAAATCCAGGCTTTGCATAGAGGAGCAGCATACCCGCCAATTGAGGCTGGATACTTGCAGCATGACATCCTGCCCGCGAGCGCCACCAAAGGCGACTAGGGATCCGTGATATGTAGCCTCCATGCAATGTTGGGTCGACATATTTCGATCCACTTGGGGTTTTCGACACGGCACGAGATCTCGAGTCTTCCGCAGAAGGCGAGGCAGCGCTGAAACTTCCCCTTGTGAGACGTCAAAAGTCGGGTAGGAGGTTAGACAGTCCGAAGGTGGATTGATGCTGACTCACGTTTTGTTTTCCGTGCTCACAATTGGGGGCTTGGCCTATCCGATCTCCTCGGGACCAATCTGTTTTGGATCGATAGCTGAGAGAGCTATTAGATAGTTTGGTTGGCTACTTGTGAAAATAGGGATTTGGGCGCACAAAACGGGTTTCGGTGTTCCTCCTCTTGGTGCTCCTTCTCCCACCATCCCAACATGGAAGTGCATAGACCCCTGTACATTTTTCCTCTTGGAAGGGGGCCAAATGTGAACAAACAGGGTAGGTAATGCATTTTGGGTTAAAAAATGGTTCGCCGTCGGGTGGGCCCAAGTCATTGCCGCAATTCCCCCATTGGGTCATCTCACAGGAACTGCGCCAGCGTTCATTTTGGGAACGCAATGAGCAAAGGCCGCAATTTGCGCTTCGGGGTTCCCTGACCAAGTGAAAACTTTGTGCGGGGGTCGAAGTCCGGCCAAGAATACGGCAAGTTGGAATGGGTTTTAGACAACTGTTGCTTCACCCACAGTTCGAACTTTGCAGAAGAGACTCATTACAGGATTAAAACCCCTAGAAGCAACCAGCGAACACGGAATGCCACTGCATTGTCGTGGAACTTTGCAACAGAAGAATCCATCACCAGAAGTGTGAGGAGCATGCTGTATTGCATGCTTGCTTTGTGTACACTTTGCCATTACGTTTCGGGACGTAGCCGTAGCATGTTTGCATGTCTCCCATGTTGGATGTACTTACCATGCGTTGCGTTGTTCCTGTCTCGCAACTTTCAATCACCTACCTTTGTTCCAGAATCATGAAAGTGGCCAGGGGGCGTTTTGAAGAGGTGAGTATGGGTCAAAATTAAGCCACCTGGAACTTGCAGGTTTTAGTGCAGGTTCCCACTTCCCAGGGCAAGCCATTTTGGGTGTCTGTTTTTGACAAACAGCCAGGTCAAAAACCGCTTGCTCGTACGCCTTTAGCTTCCAGGGGTTCCCTGGAAAACCCAGCCACGCTGGTTGTGCGTTTTCAACATGCCCCGTGGTTTGGGATGGTTTTGAGGGGGAAACCACAAAGTCCAGCTGTTCGGGGTCCGAATCCACCCGGTTTTGGACCAATACCCAGACAAGGTGTCCTGGTTCAGTCCCTATATTTCCCTTCTTGGCGATCTTAAACATCACCTTTGTGGCCCGTGAAAGGTGAGTGTCCCTTGGTGGGTGATGTTTTAAGGGGAAAAACAGGGAGCCCTGCTGTTCTCGGGCTCTGGCCATTGGTTCGACTGAAATCCAGGGCTTTGATGCATGGAAAATGAAGACCCCTCCCACCAATCAACGTGGAACCGATCGACGTTCGGGGGGTCCTGGTTTGAACCATGTTCCTTTTAAAGGGGCCTGTGAACGTCAGGTTCCGGCTGTTAATTGTTGGGAGCGAAGGATTTAGGAAATCCCATGTTCGTAGCTGATGCCCATAATGTCTGATTATGTCGGATCCCATTTTGGTACCAAGAGTGCTACTTTCCACATCCATGATTCACCCCAAAAACAGAGCCATTTGGGCTCCAGTCTTCATCATGGATTCCATGATGAAGACTGGAGCCCAAATGGCTGTGTTTTTGGGGTACCCCCCATTTTTTTGTGGTTCTACAGGGAAACCAAAGAGCCATCCGCCATTTTGGGCTCCCAAAAAGGCTCTCCGATCCGGGGCCCGCAGGTTTGCCGGAGTGTGACACCTCCAGCACTGAAGACAGTATGCAGGAGCTCACCGTCAAACGAAGGCGTGCCAAGAGACGCATGCGTGTGTCCTGCTTTCAGGATACCTTGTTTTGGTGCAAATTAAGAGGGATGCCAAAAGATTGTTTAAAAAAGAGATTTAAAAGAATGAAAGACATGTTGGACTACTGCGCACATGGAGTCAAGTAAAAAAGGCGCGACAATTATGAAGAGTGTGACATACCAAGTGAACAAGGGAAACCATCCTGAGCAACATACATTGACATATTGTTAGGATGAAGTGATGGGATCGGCATGGCGCGTTTGGCTCCTTTGGCTGCTTCACTTCAGTAAGTATCATCCACATTGCGGAACTGTGCACTTTGAGACTCTCGGGTATCATCCCGTATAGGCTCATTATTTGGTGGTGCACGGTGCGCTTTTGGCAGTAGGGCCACTTTTGCGACCAGGATAATCCTAAAAAAAGCCATTTGCCACCCAGTCAAAGTCATATGTTTGGGTTTCCCTTTAATTTCTGGGAGGACTTTGGCCAAAGAAAAGGGGGCGAGCCAGTTCCTTTCTGTAGCTCCAGCGAGGCGCCCAGAAAGCCAGCCAGGCTGGTGGACATTCCGCAGGAGGTCGGCCTCAAGAACGTGCAAATGATTTTGCAGAAGGACCAGACCTGAATTCGAAGTCGGGAAGCTCCACCAGTTGTCTTCTCCGAATTGAGTACGCGGCGAGAAATTCCTGTAGAGCTTCCATGACTGAGCAGAGACCTCTCCGATCAGGACATGCTGAACCGGTATCAGGCCAAGGAGGCGCAAATGCGGTTTCCAGGGTTCCAACGAATTTCTGGGGTAGACTTAGGATACATTTACATGTTGCCAGTGACTCCATGTGAAGCAAACAACAAAATATACATTCTATAACTGGGCCCAACTCTAATCATGATTTGTTTAGTCCTTGTTTCCATTTGCCAGGGTTCCATTTTGAGTGCCTATGTTGACGTCAAACACCCGTATGGCGATGCTTGTTCTGAGTCTCCGTTTGGTGGGATAGAAGGGCAAGTACGGGGAAACTGGTTGTGGGAGTGGGAACTTCCAGCAACGGAGTTTTGGGCCAGGGAAATTTGGAGCACCGTCAGACAGGTTTCGAGAAGCCTTCGATCGGAAGCGCACCTTGCTAGGGGGTCTTTTACGGGGTAAAAGTTTTTCTCGATTAACTATTACTGGAGTTGTATGTTTCGCCAAAGTGGTTACTTGATTTGTTTTCTGACTACTTTGGTGCATGTTGCTTGGATGTTAGGACTTTAACTTTTTGCCAACTAGTG